GAGTTTGAATGATTGTATTTGTTAAAATTTGTCTGATGTTTTAATGTCATGGGCGCTAATAAAGTCACAGGAAAAGAAGTCAAGTTTGACTCGGAGAAAAAGTCACAATTTGGTTTTGCCAGAGACACGTTTGGTATACATGAACATATTATAGCAGATTTTTTTAACCACACTTATTGCTGTCAATAATTTTCATGACGGGAGGCATCAAAATTATTTTTCACTAAATCCAAATATTGTTGATCCACAATAGTACTGAAATCCGATATTTCCACTATTCACGCTGTCTTTAGGGTTAAGGTTAGTGGTTAGGATTAAGAAAATCCTTTTAAAGAAAGACGCAGAAATACTTTTAATATTGTTCTATTTCTTTTAACATGTGATTTTCTTAACTTGATTCTTTTATTTCCTTCTGAAAGATACGATGAGCAGGTTGGAAAAAATCTCTTTAAAACTCGGATATTTTTGAGAAATATATTCACAATGTCGTGTATTAATTTCGAAATGCCAGCACAATTTCGATGCCAGTTGATGACTAATGGGATAAGGTCAGAATTTGAATAATAATAATAATAATAATAATAATAATAATCCCATCACTTCATAAGTATGCATTGCTTGGTACTGAAAATATCTCCGGTTGAAAACGAAAAAGCGTTCAAAAGTAGAGAAAATAATAATAATAATAATAATAATAATAATAATAATAATAATAATAACCAAAAGCACTTCACTATACATCTAGAATACTTTTATAAGTGATTTGGTATTAAGGACGTTTATTTTAACTTAATATGCTCAATTAGTCACTTAGTACTGGTGTTAATATTCAAAGAAAGAAATAAGAATAATATGAAGATCAATAACAATAATAATAAGACGGAGTGCTGAAAAGGTCTCGGTCGAACTATCTAAAATCTGAACAAATGATCAAACATTAAAATAGTTTAGGAAAATCTTCTTTTCAGCACCCCTTTCATAATGAAGATTAAGCCAACTTTCGAGATGAGGATGTTGTTTGTGTTGTCAGTGCTGATAATATAAAGGGTCTTAAAAGAAGAAAAAAAGCTCTAATAAAACACCTGCATTTGACTCACGGTGACTCATAATAAAATCAATTAATGTGAAAATGGCTAAATTTAATTTGCTGCTGGGAATTTTTAACTTTTTTATTGATAATTTTTTTAATTTTTGGTACACCGAGAAAAAAATAAAAAAATGAAATGAACATTCGATCACTTAATGGTGTTTTGTTGGTCATTATTAGAAAATCATTTGCTTACTTCACAATCGGAATATATAAAATAGAATAACAATGTCATAGATATTTTTAAGGTTGCTTCATTTCGCCCAAGGCTAAATCGGAAGGATGTGGAGAGTGACTGCCTGTCATATACGTTTCTATGGCTTTTTACCAGGGCTCGAATACCGTCAATAGGTGGAAGTAGGAAATCCTTAACTCCTTCCACAATATTATCTATTTCCATAATATTGTCTCACACACACACACACACAGCATACACACAAATATATATATATATATATATATATATATATTCCTCAATCCAAGCCGCTATTCCAGTCGAATCCATTACATTCACTTACGTGCTAATACCCTTGAAAGGTGTGAATCATCTTCTTCTCCCTCCAGCTATGGGTAAATAGCAGGACAGACTGGGTTCTATAGCCTTTGATGGCAACTGGTCTAGGAGAAAAAAACTCTGAATTCAAAACCTGCGGAGGGACGTTTGGGAACTTTGTGGCACGTAGTGCACCAGGTCTCAGTATTCGGCTCTTCAAAAAGTGTGGATGGCCCTGCACGAAACCTTCACCACTATAATCAAAACTCATGTGCTATTGTCGGGCTGTCAGTTTCCAAGGAACTGATCTGCTTGACCCTTATACGTCGAATTCGACGGGGGAGTCGTATATATATATATATATATATATATATATATATATATATATATATATATATATATATATATATATATATATATATATATACGAGCGTCTTTTGTATATATATATATATATATATATACGAGCGTCTTTTTATATATATATATATATATATATATATATATATATATATGGACACGTAGCCGAGTGGTTAGAACGTTCGCCGACCATGAGACACGATTTGAAATCTCACAGTGGTCGATTTGTCAGGAAGTTCCTAATGTTATCGGACTGAAATGAGATCTCAGCGTGCTGAACCTTTGTAAAGTTCCTGAAAACGTTATCACGGGTTGACCGATAGCTGTGCTAGCACGAAGCCAAAAGTCATCGTGGCCGAGAGTTTGAGCGTGCTGGCAGATAACACGCTCTCTCCAAGAAACTGTAACTAACGTCTGCTCAGCATAGTTTGCAGTGAAAAACATATGGTCGCGTATATCGGTGTTTTTATGGTAGTGGGAGGGAAAATTGTCGTCGGAATTCTACTCATAGGCACGCATATATACATACATGCACGGTCACTCATTGACGTACGCAGACATACATACACGCAAACTCACTCATATTGAGCGCTTTCCAATAAGTACCGCGCATATATAATATATAACTAACTAGCAGTAGAGCCCGGCGTTGCCCGGGGATATAACAGTAAGAGATAGATCAGATATCGACCATCAATAAAGACTGAAAAATAAAATTGACAAAGATTATTGTTTAAGGTTGACGGACACGCATGTCTTAATTAGTTTTTTGGTTTTTTTGTTTTTTACGAATTGATCAAACTCAAACAAAAACATTGTTTTCAATCGTTATGAGTCTACCGATTGAATAGAATTTTATTATAAACAATTGTCTTGTAAATGGAATTTTTAAAGCATTCTGAATGTAAAAATAAAGAAAAAAGTGTGCAAGGCAATAAAAAACACTACCTGCCAAAAAAAAGTGAAGTTTTGTTAAAATCGGTTAAAAAATATAGGAAATCCGATTCCATATATAAACGAACACACACACACACACACACACACACACACAAAACAAACAGACAACCTGGGTTTTATAATAACTATAACTTGATATGAGTTGTCCTCCTTTCATTCTCGACAGCGATGCCTCTTAATCATGTTTTCAAATTGATTTCGTGCAAAAACAATTGTTTTTTCCAATTTTTGGCGCTGTCAGAACCACCGCAATGTAATTTTACGTAGACCTGTGAAGTTTTGTTGAAATTGGTTGAAAAATGTAGGAAATTCGGGGTTTTTAGCTTCTATTTTTGAAACATGGTTGGAACTGTGTAGCGAAAAAAAACCATATTCTAATCAATTAATTTATAATATATATATATATATATATATATATATATGATAAATTGTAAAAAAGTTTACTAGTGGCGCGTTTCCTTTCTTCATGGCTCATCGGACTAAATTTGTCATAACAATTTAGTCCGATGAACTCCTTTATGTTGGCCGAGAAAAGTAGTAAACATACACGACTACAATTATGTTGAAAAACCTAAAGAAAGCAGTTACATCTATTATTTAATGGCTTTGTAGAGTACAGTATATATGTCCATCCTACACAATATCAATCTAATCGCAATTTCAACAATATTCATTTAATATACATACATATATATATATATATATATATATATATATATATATATATATGCGTGTGTGTGTGTGTATGTGTGTGTGTGTAAATTTATTGATTATTACTTGTTTACTTTATATTAAAATTTGAATTATGACATTTTGTGTACTCCACGTATTTTGACTGACCTTTCCACCACCTGTTGAATATTCATAAAGGATTTCAAATTTAAATTTAGCCTTGATTAATTGATGACACCCTCACTTTTGTATATAAACACTGCGTTGTCTTCCTAAAGTCTCTTAGAGGCCGAAAAGAAAGTTTTTGCTCTTGTTTTTATTTAATTTAGCTATACTCTAACTGAAAATTATATATATATATATATATATATATATATATATATATACAGATAGATAGATAGATAGATAGATATATATTGTTCAATAGATGCTCTATTGATGCACACACACATACATATATATATATATATATATATATATATATATATATATATGTGTGTGTGTGTGTATATCACTTTAAAACTTATTTTAGTAGATATTTGTATTTGAGCAAAAGCTCCGCTTGTTTATTAAACAGTATCTATTTATTTTAGCTTATCGGCTTGAATGTTTGAGGATAATATTGAAATAAATTGCGCTCTAGCAGGAATCGAAGCTGCGACTTTCAAAGCTCAGGGAGGTACCGTTCATCCCGATTTATATATATATATAATATCTCGTCATTTAGTTTATATTCACACATACATATCTATCAAAATCTATCTATCTATCTATATATATATATATATATATATATATATATATATATATATATATATATATATAATATAAAAAATTTCCTTATTTACGAAGTATAACAATTTAATAGTCGGTGTGGCGTTTTTGAATGCAAACTTTGCTCCTTTTTACACATGTCGCCTTTCCTCTTGTAGCGATGAACTTTGTGAGAGGATTTTGCCATTTTGCTATTTTGCCAGAAGAATTTTAGAATTTTGGAAAACGTTTCAGTAATGTTTTCCCGTATTGATGGATGCCAAGGATGTCAATAAATATTTCTCCTTTCAAGGTATTTTCCAATGTTGGAAATAATCAACAATCAAAGTTGGTTGCTAAGTCTGGTAATTAAGTGCAATATTATTCCATGTTGGAGTGGTTAGTACTTACCCATGTATAAGTAAGGGCAGGCTTAGCTACCCAAGGAACTGTTAAAATGAATGGATCCAAAACAAGAATCTATAGTCATAGGATTCTGTCACTTTCGAAATTAATGGATAAGACTCAGATGTCTGTAATAATATTTTAAATAGTTTTATATTTTTCAAATTATTATTATTAAATATTTGTGCATATGTTTATTTAAAAGATTCTACCGCGAAATATGTATAGCAGGGTTGATTTAATTTAATAAATGTAGGGTACACAAAAGAGTTTTTAGTTTGGCCAGTCGTGGATAAGTGAAACTCCAGTTGTTGATTCTGCAGATGGTGAGCTTCTCTGGTGATATGTGACTGGAATTGCCCTTCTCTTAAAAGAAAGAAAGAAAGAAAGAAAGAAAGAAAGAAAGAAAGAAAGAAAGGCCATTGCAAAAGAGAGAGAGATAAATAATGAAAAATCAGTGGGAGAGAAAGAAAGAACTGTGAAAAAGGAAGAAAGAAAAATGGAAGAAAAGTAGTAGAGAAAGTAAGAAAGAAAGAAAAAAGAAAGAAAGAACAGTGATAGGGAAAGTAAGAAATAAAGAAAAAAGAAAGAGTAATGATAAATAAATAAATAAATAAAGAAAGAAACAAAGAAATGAAAGAATGGTTAGTGAGAACGTAAGAAAGAATGATTAGTGAGAGAGAAAGGAAGAAAGAAAAAAGAAAGAACAGTGATAGAGAATTAAACAAAGAAAGCATAAACAAAGTTAGAGAGAAAGAAAGAAAAATCTGATGTTGAGAAAGAAAGAAAGAAAGAAAGAATAGTGATAGGGAAAAAAAGAAAAAAGAAAGAAAGAAGAGTTAGAAAGAAAGAAAGAAAAGAGAAAGAAAAGAATTAAAAAGACGTATTGAAGAAAGAAGGAAAGAAAAATATAAATGCGAATCCTACTGACACAAAGTTAAAGTATTAAAAAAAGAAAAGAAAGAAAACATCCAGAGATAATATGTTGAAGAAAGAAAATTTGTACAAAAATGAGAGGCCTATATAAAGTAAAGGTATTGAAACAAAGAAAAATAGTCTCAGGGAGAGAGAGAGAGAGAGAGGGAGAGAGAGAGAGAGACAAAAAATCGCAATGATGTAAGAAAGAAAAGGAAAGAGAAATCTAGAAAGAAGAAAGGAAATAGGAAATAAATATCCGTAAAAGAGAAAGAGACTGATATAAAGTAAACGCATTGTATCTCGCTAGCTAGATAGCTAGCTAGATAGATCAAAAGAGAATACGTGTGTAAGACAGAGGGTGAGAGAGAGAGAGAGAGAGAGAGAGAGAAGGAAATAACGGGAACATAAATGAAACCAATCAAAATCAATATTTTTAGCTCTTTACATTAAATTATTTGAATGTTTGAATTAGTATATTTAGAATAGGTTTTCCTTTTATCTATTCGAATAAATTCCAAGTTAAAAATGTTATATTTTTCAAGTAATTCTCAATGACTAGAATTGGTTATGTTTCATCTGTTTTTGGAAGATGACAGCGAATTCATTGTTAAGGCCGCTACTCTTTGTAAATACAACAACAGGAATGAGCTCCACTCAAATGCCGCCGTCGATAAATGCAATGTTATTTTTTTTTTTTTTTTTTATTTATTTCGTTTGAATTTACGACTAACAGGATTTTACTTTTAGAGACTTCCATCTCATTACTGTCACTATATATTCAATTATCTTTCAATTTTTATTTTGTTGCTCGAAATCTATTTTTGTTTGTTGTTTGTTATCAAACTCTACTCAAAGAATATTTCAGTTTATAATATCAAAGATAACATTTACAACAGCTCTTCATCATTTGAAATAAAGAGCAGAACGATAAAAAACAAAAATATATTTAGAAATATGAACATTTATAACTTTGGCTTCGGGAAAAGAAACGCCTATAATTTCTCACTAGCTTTTATTTATCGTTTGATTCCTTTTCTATGGATTATCATCATTTTGCAGGCTATTTAAAGCCAGAAAATATTTTAAATCATAAAATTTTGTTTTATATAATAATGATTTAGTGATACAAGCCTAATTAACCCATAAATAAGGCGAGGAAGAAGGGTTTTTTTTGTTTTGTTCTTTTTACAGTATCTTTTACCTTGTACAAGGCCCGGTGGCCACTCGAGATACAGGGTTACGCAGATGGAATATAATAATGGGCATTTTACACATGTATTTTTCTCAATTTGAAAACAGATAATGGTAATATTAGCCGTTTCTCTACAAGGAAACATTTGGTATTCATTGATCGAGAATCATGGACAGCTCTCGGTTAAAATTTGTAAAATCTTTCTCTTCAAACTTTCAAGCAAATAGAACTTTTCAGTCCAGTAGCTATTATTGCTCATTCCACTATTAATTGGGGTTTCCTTCCTAACTTTTTGTTCGAAATAATGTGGAATGTCAACATCTTTATTATATCATTATTTTCTCTTCAAGTTATTGGTGCTATCCATTTTCGTTGTTGCTGCTGTTGATTGTCCCCAAGTGAGGTGGCAGTCGATAAGTATGCTGTGTTTATTAGTAAGATCCCCAATTTATATTCATTTTTACTATTAAAATGATAAACTATTAATTTTTTCCGACATAAAATCTATTATGCTTGAGCAACTTCTATAAAACGAAGTAACGGTTCTTTCTTTTAGATATATTTAACATGTCTTTATTTGTTCACAAGTAATTTAAATATCTTTCTCAAAAATCTAATATTCCATTCATTCTTTCATTCGTTCGTATTTTCAACTTCCCAAAATCACGCCATCTCAACTCTATAAACAAAATATCTGCTGTTACTTGAGTTTAATAAAACTATATTTTTTTACTATGTTGAATAGAATGTACTTTAATATTCTTACTTTAATATTCTGAAAGTATTAAACATAAGAAAATGCAGAGAAGCATACTTTTTTATTAGATAGTGAATAAAATACAATATACAAATAATACCTCCATGTTTTACGGTATTTATAAATTATTTATTTACAGTCGTGGTCAGACGTGTAAGACAACCCAATATTTAAAAAAAACGGACGAAAATCGCATTAGCATAAAAATAAAAGTCAATAATCACATCAATGCTTCTAATTCACAAAAAGAAATGTATATTCTGTTAGTTACAATACAGACTGGTATTTTGAATGGAAACCTTGCACCTTAATAATCGCCTCAATACGACGAGGTATCCTAGCTATGAGACTGACAATACTTTACTGAAATCCCTCGGATCCATTGATCTTTGATTACTTTCTAAACTGCTGTGGTATTGGCTCGGTTTTTGTCATCAACCTTATTCTTTATATAATAGCATAAATTATTTTTTGATGGGACTGAGGTCAAGGATTTTCCTAGGATATTTCAATGTTGTTACCCTAACTCATTCTTGCCCTTTGTTTGCTTTCTGGAATGGCGTACCCTCATATATATATATATATATATATATATATATATATATATATATATATATATATGGTGCAATCGTGTATATGCAATGCAACTAAAGTTTATCCTGTAAAAGTTTCAAGTACATTTAACTCTTCATGGTTCTTCCAGGTTAAAGGAAATATAAACCAGGCGTTCCAAAGGACGTTTCATATTTTGCATGGGATATTTTTCTTCTGTTGTGGTAGGATCCACCTAATTTGCATAGTAGAGTACCGACCATATAAATATGGTTGGTACCGGGAAGAGAGGGAGGAATCAAGAGATTCAACCAGAGACTCTGCCCGACTGCGACTCAGTCAACACATTCTCCAGGAACGGTCTTACCAGGAATATACAAAAGACTATATGTAAATATTGTGTACACTTTCTTGTTTCAATACATTTTGTTCTAAGTACATTTTTGTGTTGCATTATTATTCCATGCATTAGTCAAGTTTCAACATCTTCATAACTCATTCTTGGGGGTCGCCTGATGTAATCCTGACGCACAGCAAACTGCTGCAGTGTGGATTGATCAGAAAACATAATATCTCACCACTGTTGCTCTGTCCAATGTTCCATCTTTTTGGTGAAAGCAGGAGCATTACTTTTTCATTTCCACAGCCAATCTTCGTTTTCGGTATATTTTCCTGATGCCTAATTGAAATGCATAGAAAAAGCTGTGAGAAACATTCCTACTACTCATATCTGTACCTCTATGAAACAGAATAGTTCGACCTTTTTTTTTTTTTGCATGAACTTATCGAATATTGTGAAACGATGGATTTAATGACGCGATAATTGGTTGTTTTTTTGTTTTGTTTTGTTTATTTTCTGGGATGACCACTTTGTTCTTGATATTTTTAAATAAAAAACAAGTACAGATAATTCTTTAAAAAACCAAGGATTGTTTTAAGACTGTATTTATATTATGAATAGAGCCTTCTAAAATGATAATAATATTAATAACTGTATATGATTACGCCATCAGACAAAATATATAAATCATGGAAAAATATGTATAAAAAACTCCGACACGACTGTGTCCTTGCGCAACGAACATTTATATACTATTATTACTATTATTATTTCTATTTTGAACTTCTTTTATCGGTTTACTACACCTACATGCACACACACACACACACACACACACACACACACACACACACACATATATATATATATATATATATATATATATATATACAAACACAATATTTTATCTGCTCTTTCATGTTCTATATGATGAAAAATGTAATCACGGCATTTGAGCGTCAGTTTAAAATCGTGTGATTATCGTTTTCGCAAACCTTCTGGCTTATCTAACACCAGACGGATTTACAATTTAGTATAAATTCAATCTGTATTCGTCGAATAAGTCGAGAGAGAAGTAAAAGAAAGAAAAGCCGGATAACAAAACAGAACAAAAGCGAACAACAAGTGGATTTGTCTTTTCAATATACCATCGCTGGCCTGTTGACATGAATGCAAACGTTTCACGTACGAAAATATGGTTGAAAACTGAAAAAGATGGTGGTTGACACAAATAATTCAACTCGTGTTCAAATGTATATAAAAACAGCTGAATAACGCGCGATAATTCTGTTGGAACTTGGATAGAATGGAATGCATTTATATCTTATTCTTGTTTCTTCTTTCTTTCTGCTGTTGTGTTTATTTTTGCTAATAGTTTGAGCGTAGCTGTCATTTTCCCTGTGCTTCCGACACAGTTGCTAAGTCGTCATGTTGTCAGGGCAAATGCCACCCTGGAAAACAATGGCTGATCGATATTCGGGTGCTGCATATAATCGTTGCAATGAATGATTTTTTTTTTTTAATTTCATTATTAACGTTTTAATAATTTATTTGATAGAGCTTCATTTTTTAGATTGGTTGAACAAAATCACGAATTTCTTGTATAATTCCCTTAAATGAAAGAAAGAAATTGATTGATTTATTCGTTTTCTACGGTTTATCAACCCCTTGCAGTTTATTTAAAGCCAGAAAATATTTTGAATTGTAAGAATTGTTTTGGGAGATAATAATGAGTTAGAGATACAAGTCTTACTAATTAACCCATAGCTAGAGGGAGAAGTGGTGGATTCATAACTTTCCTAAGGATATTTGCGATTAAGTGAATATAAGAAGCCCAACTCGAGTTGGAACTCGGTTCTTCGCTTAACAATTTCAGGACATGATCCATTACACCACCCGCACATAAAAGCTTATAGTCCCTGTTATTTCAAATGGTCACCCATCCGTTGCTTAACTTCGCTGATCGTACGTGATATGGCCGGAAGTCCAATAGAAAAAGTAACAAAAAACGTTGTTAGAAAGAGATCATTAATGGATATGAAAGTCTTTTCTTACATTATACGCCGTGTACCTTCAGAACGACGGTGATCATGATTCTCCACAACTCCCTGTCGTTGTTTACTCCAAGTATTGTTTTCCTCATTATTCTCCCTCTATCCATTACACAATTTTTTTTTTATGTAGGCTACGTGCTGTTTCCTGCTATTGACTTCAATATGTCCTGTGAGTTTCAAATTTTCTAAGCGCTCTTTTTTATTATTTATCCCATAAATTTCAATTACCGTTTTCTGATGCCTAGCGCAAGTATCCATCTTGTTTGCATTTTCATTACAACTTCCTCTTCATATGTTCCGTTTGTCGTATCCTCAATATCTTTCTATAGAACCAGATCTTGTTTTATTAGAAGTTACTCCTTATTTTGTGAAGAAATTGTCCAGTATTCACCGCTGTGTAGGAGGATAATATGCATAATATTTCAGCAACCTTTTATTTAATTCTAAGACATTTTCCTGTTTCTTAATATTTTCGAATTTCTTAATCATTTTGAATATCGGCTGCAAGTCTGACCATGTCAAAATGGCAGCCGATGTCCAAAAC